CAGTTCTACTGTATGGGGCAGAAACTTGGAGAACTACAAAAGCCATCATCCAGAAAATACAGGTGTTTATTAACAGTTGTCTACGCAAAATACTTCAAATCCATTGGCCGGACACTATTAGCAACAGCGCACTGTGGGAGAGAACAAACCAGATCCCAGTGGAGGAAGAAATCAGGAAGAAGCGCTGGAAGTGGATAGGACACACATTAAGGAAAGCACCGAACTGCGTCACAAGACAAGCCCTCACATGGAATCCTGAAGGTCAAAGGAAAAGAGGAAGACCAAAGAACACATTACGCCGAGAACTGGAGATAGACATGAGAAAAATGAACAAGAATTGGCTCCTCTTGATCCATGACAACTTCACGGTCTAGTCACCAGAGGTCGTGCAACTCCTTTACTTAAGAAATAAGCAAATATGACTCAGCATAGGTACCAGTGGCCGTCATGTTACAATTGCACCACGTTTTTCATAAGATTAAGGTGGACTTCCTCATCTGGAAGAAGCATTACTTAACTGTCACCTTAACTAAACAGTACATTTTACCAAATGCTGCTTTTTTTCATTTATTTATTGTATTCTTATTCCCTCTATTTCTTCGTAATGTCACTTCATCCTGGTGGCGCACTTTCTGGCTACTTTATTGTACCAGAACGTTTTAAGTAAATAAATAACTCTGCTGTTCTGTGTAAAGTAATATTGGGCCAAGTAAAATATTATAAAGTGGTTGCTTAATGGTTAAGACGTTCAAATTTTGATCACAAAGACCCAGGTTCAAACTCCGCCCTTTCTACCACTGTTCGAGTAATCGGGTAGTATCGTTAGCTATCATACTTCGTCTGTAGATCGTAATTAATTACGTGGTGGATGAGTTGGTCTAATTTTAACTACGAAGCCATTGGTTGTTGGCCTAATTCATGTTTATAATCTGGAGCTTCTTACATATTCTTGCTATTTATAATTGTGACATCTCGAACCGGCGTTAGATTATACAAAATCACAGATTATCTTGACAACCTCCAAAACTATACTTTGTTTACTTTTGTTTGATCATCCCCATTTCCGTTTACTTTGTCTTCTGTCATTCGACATATTATTCAGTCGAATCCCAACACTACAAAAGTTCTTTATGTAGTCCAGCTTGTCTATAATATCACCTAATTCAAGCAACTAATTCTTTTAAGTTCTGCATTTTCACTCTTTTTAAAAAAATGTGAATGGTTTCAATTTGTGAAGTAGTGTTTTAAACTTCCTGAAATTTGTCTTCTAAATTAAATATCTAATAAGCTAATATTAGTATTTTACAGTTCAGTTTGAGCAGTAACATATATGTCTATATATTCCTGTCATCTTTCCAAAGATTTTAGTGGGCCTTCGTGAATATAAATTTATTTATATTTACGATACAAAAACGTAGTACATTGAAAGCTCCAGGTAATGAACTAAATGACATAAAATTATTGCTGGAAAATATAAAAGTGATTATATCTGATTGATCACGAGTGACTGAAAACAGTCCATTTTTGCGATGACACCACAGAACAAACATGGTTCTATTAGCATTTTCCAACTCATCATGTCTCCAGAGATAGGGTTGAGAGGTCCCTAGAGATTTTGCAACTCAGTCATTGCAGATGTTATTAAAATTAGATCAGAAGAAGACCCAGTAATACTACTTCTGTAACGCTTTAATTGTCTAGTTATTAAAATAATACAAACTGTTTGTATTATGTAACTTACCTCGTCTCATTTGAAAGAAACCTGTCACTATGGTGTCTGGGCAAGTTAAGTTGTTTTGTAACGACAGGGTATAGAACCAAATGTTCTGCAGCTATGAGTTGATAAGCATGCTACGTCGAGAAGACAAATATTGTTTCCCAAGCTGTCACTTAAGCTAATCAATGTAGGGCTAGCACTCCCACAGGCGATTGGCTAGGGATACACTGGATGTTGCGGAATTTTTTGGAACGATGACCTAGTGGCTAAAACAGTTGTTTCTCAACCATTTATCTGAACATATAAATATTGATGCAAGGAGGCACCGTATATATATGTGCCACACTCAACCACTAAGTCCCACATACGATCCTCGCTTCACCTACTTTGGCATGGGTGACCAGGTAGTATTACTATCTTTTACACTCAGAGTGTGGCTCATACCCAGTCGCCTGGTGAATGAGTCAATTAAATCATACCAAACTCACACAAACTATGTAAAATAAAGCCGAATACATAAACCTGTACTTGGTAAAACAGCTATATTGAAGACCCTAAATTTCTTTAAATTTAAATAATTTCATATCAAAAATGGTCATTCATATTTAACAGAAACATTTAAAAACCATAGTTTCGATCGGTTTCCAAATATCCTCTAAAAGCAACTCCCCTACATTATCATATTAATTGTTGTCGCTTAAACAGTTAACTCTTTCATATTTAGAGTTTACTGTTCAACATGAAATTTGATTGGAATCTTGACATTTTTAATACAGCAGTATTTTATACCAGCTAAAAAATTTCCCCAATACTATGTTCAGATTTACAATGAATCTAATGTTGGTGAATTTCCATCGTTGCTGTATGGGACCACAATAAACATTATCAACTTCCTTAAGCATTTAATTGAAGAAGGAGAGATTTCTTCTAGGAATTCATCTCGTCTGTTGGAACAGTGCCGAAATTACACTCCAGAAGCGTCAATTGTGAACTATTATCGAACAAAAACAACCATGGGCTTCCATTCTGATGATGCAGAAATAGATAAGGAAGCTCCTTTGGTTTCGATTAGGTATGTTTAGAAGTACTTCAGTATGTTTAGCAATTTTAGATTGGTTAGGTGTGTTTCGTGTGCTATATAACTGTTGGCTCCTATTAAATTGTCAGAAATATATTTTAAGACTAGGCAGGACGAACTCCTTCCCCACAGCGGCTCTGTCAACTTGGTGATACAAATTAAAAAAATGAAATCATACATCTTTGGTGCATATTAATAAGAGTTGTGTTGAAATCATCCCTTGATAATGGGAGGTCAGTGTGTTCATGCATAATTTGTATGGTTTCCGCCAGTAAGATTGTGTTAAACAATAATGACATCAAACTAAACTATAAATTGATCAGTAAAGTTAATATTTTACTAGTGCTTTAGCAAATTGAAATGTCTTTCATGCTGCAGGCAACTGACTTTAACCGAATCGGTTCTAACTGTTCTACTAACCAACAGGCGAATATATTAAGCTAACAACTAAACACTGACGATACCAAAAGGAAATTTACAGTCGACTTTGTTTCAAATTCATGTGTATCATACCAACGACTTTTCTTAAGGTTTCGTTATACCTCTCGCTTGTTCGTCTTGTGTGAATTTCACCTTGTATCGTAGACCATTGTAACTTTTTACTCGAACTGTTAGTCAGCTGTCAACAATACGCTTGCTCTTGAATAACTTGACAGTACGTTTGATTTTTCAAAATTAGTTTACAAGATGGATGAACTTTAGCTAGACAATCAAGAAGTACTAAACAACTGTCCTTTCCTAGCACGAGACCGAACAGTGTTCACATAGAGTTGTTAGAGATAGGACCGTAAAAGTTCCAGCTGTACGTATTCTTTAGACTGCTAACCATGTATTAAACAGTACATATCTCTAGTTCCAGGAAAGTAGGAAACTACTAGATCCATTTAGTCTCCGTAATGCCTAATTAAGTTGGGAGGTTTGCTCATTCTTAGGATGCCAAATTCTGAATACAGGATTACGTGGGAAAATCTGTTTATCCCAAAAGCACACTATTATTCCGGGATAGTATAGTTCCAAAATAACTTTCACTCCGTTCAATATTTTGATAACTTATTCTTCAATATTAGATGTGTGTCAAAGTTGTTCCTTTTTACCGCTGGTTGTTTGCTTATCGATTCAGTTATATGCAGTGAGGCGCATCATAGTATTGGATAAAAACTACCATTAGAACGGCCATATCTTCATGATTGCTAACATTCTCATTAGATAGGTATTATTACCATGGTTTGGCTTGATAATTTCCAATAGATTTAGCATCGGGTATATTGTTATAAATAAATAATGTATTTGTAATATCCAAATGAGTAGAAAATCTAATTTTTCTACTCATTTGGATATTACAAATATATTACTTATTTATTCTCATTAGATGCATTATTATTTCTCATTCAGTCAGAGCACAGATCATAGTTGAAGCTCTTATCTAAAAATTGTTGTGTAGAGGACTTTCTGGGTTATCCATTTTTATAATCGTTGTTTGAGATAAATACTTGAACGATTGCTTCTGTAAACATCTGTCTTTCAAAGAATAATCACGTTTATTGTTACCTTTTTCAGCGTTGGACCCACTGCATTATTCTTACTAGAAACATCAGAAGCCATCAAGCATGAATTCGACGTTTCATTGCATGGGAGTTTTAACCGAGCAGTTGACTATGACCACGTACTACCGATTTACCTTTGTCATGGTGATGTAATAATAATGGCTGGTAAAAGTCGTCTGGCTCGTCATGCAGTCCCAGTAATTTTCTTCGATGATGATACAGAGGTTGTGTCGAAAGGAGCTCTTCGTGTTAGTCATGATATTTGTGAAAAAATTTTAAAGCAAGATCATAATGATGATGCGTGTACACACTGCCAAGAGTGTCTGACATATATTAGGACTACACGTATAAATATGAATATACGCCAAGTAATGCCTGTTCATAGATAACGAGAATGTTGATATTGTTTTATTTTTCAATTGTTCAGTAAATTTTACTATACGATACATTTTTAGTACTACAATAAATACCTTGTCTTTCGAAAAGCGTCAACTACTTCTTAAATCTAGTCTAGCGATTCTGTATCGTTATTTATTTTATGCTGTGTTTCAAGAGATTACGAGTTCACCTAATCTGCGAACGGGACGAAGACTCAGTTTCACAACGACCAAATAAGTTAACTATTACGATGCATCCCAGTCTCGCTAACTAAAGAGAGGAGTCCAGGTTCAGAAGAGGGGAATGTATTCCACAAGCAGTCAGAAGCCCGAACAACAAGCACAACTTAAACGCATATATACAGCATAAAAAATATCCTTGGGAAACGTTACAAAATAGCATATGAAGAGACAACGAACCAGTGTGGGAAATGAAAACGGAATGAGCGCTTTTGGCGCGAAAAAACTCAAAATATAAAAATAAGATATTTACCTCGAGTTCTAGAGATCTAACATCGCCAACATTTTATCAACCCACCGCTTTAATAAACATACTTTTGCGATAAAATGTGTTCTTTGAAATGAATCTCACACATTTTACGGTTTATTTTCTTAGCGTCACTGTCCATATGCAGTGTTTACTCCAATTCATATCTATTCGATATTAGGTTTGAATGTAAGCTTATCTACACATAATTATAGTAAACTGTGATATAACCTACTTAGTATTATTTTATAGTGCGTACTGAACTGCTTATGCTTATCAATTGCAAACAGGTTTGGTCGGCTGTTTATATCCAAAACCTTTACTACAAATCATATAGTTTGGGATAACTCAGTACAAGTATGCAAAATATTATATTGAGGAATTACCAAGATAGAAATAAAATGTGTAAATTTTAATAGTATTATTGTACAGTTTCTGATTAATATACAAGATAAATTACACAACTAAAAAATCGGCTCCGAAAAATAATCCCAAAACCTAATGAGTATTATACTCGAAAATAAGGACCATTTGTGGTACGGCTTAGCATAGCCTCATTCTGTATTCTTGATGATGCTTCCGGGGCTAAACGATTTAATAACGGACGAATGGATGGTTCAAGTGCGATTATAGCTCCTGAAATAATAGACAATAAGTGAAATGTGATTAGATAAAAAGTTGTTGCACGAATGGGATTACGTCCGAAATCATAGTTTTATACGATCATTTAGCAGTGCGATGTATTTTATTTATTACATTTAAAAGTCTTTTGATATTATATGTTAACTAGACAGTTGTTTTTCAACTGATTTAGGACAGCTTACACTAGATAATCTTTGGGCAAGGATTGTGAAGCTTTTGGGACACAGTTACAACTTGTATAGATAACTCAACAAGTAACAAACGGATGTCGCGTCTTGTTTAGATCATCACCCGTCTAACATAAACCCAGTAATCTAGGTGGTATATTCTGACATTATGGTACCAAAACTCAACTGATTTACTCTGCTTAGATAGAGTACAAAGACGAAGCCTTTGTACTAGCCGAATACTACCGATACCTCGGGAGATATAGGTAACCAAACATCCTCTATCTTTATTACTCTAGTTCCATCACAAAACATTGCGTTGTACTTTTAGTTATCGACAGCCCTGTTGATATCAATCGACTTATTCATATTTACACCTAGATCGCTTCAGTAGCTGGCACAAAAGAGATAATAGTGAAGTCTAGTTTGTTAGCCATCAATAACATCCTAAAGGCCCCCAAGTGCCCTGGAGCGACTACGCGTGGGGAAAGCCAGCTCTCATATAGCCACGCATATACAGCCACTACTAGGGGAGTCCTACTCACTGCCTTTTCTCAACGATGTTGTTTACCAAATCAAGAGGATCAAAATTGGATGTCCGGTGCTTTAACCGGGTTGGTGGACACGGAGGTTCTATCTATGGGAGTTGGTAAACTTTGATTCCAAACCAATCGTTCACATGGACTCCAGGATTCGAAGATAGTGAATGGCGTATGAACCAATCGTTGGTCACTGGCTACCATGGGACTGCACCTCCTAACGTTGCTCTACTGCGTTGTTTATGATATCTATAGGTCAAAGGCTTTGGGTGTGGTCCCTTAAAAAGACCCACCTTCGGTTTGAGCATCCAGGCAGTATCACAGCCCTCACACAAATCAATGATAACTACTACTGGTCTTATTGTTATTGTGTGGCACATATGCATTTGGTGCGCTCTTGTACCAATGTTTATGTTGAAATAAATAAGTGACAACCTAATAATGAGTCATGTGAGATAGAACCTTTTAGCATAGTTACCGTCATTTGAGGTATTACCAAATGTAATATAATTATTAAGTAGACTTAACTGGTGTCATGTGTAGAGTTATACAAAAAAACGATGCAATCGATAAGGGATTAAATTCTATAAATGAGATGGCTGGAATATGCTAACCCAACCTGTTCCTGTTTATTGGAGTGGGTTCAAGTTGGGTGAGGTATGAAAGCTGAGCAGATCGAGACTTACTACTAACGTTGAGACTGTTAGTATGAACTGCGTAGACTATAGTGTTTCTTGGTGAGAGTACAAGTGGTATGGTATTTCAGTATTTGCGGACAACGGATTCCGTGGTTCAAAATTAGTCAAGACGTTGCAAATGTTTAACCCTTTCTTAGCATATAGTAATGCCGTCCTCAATATGCTCATTACGTTGTTATCGATCCTAAGCCACTCCTTGTTTGTAGTTTCTTTCAATCTTAATGTTATTAAATGCCAATACTTCTTCATATGACTCGTTAAATAAACATTAAGCATCATTTTACTTTATTGTAAACCCACCTATATTGCATTCACTGGAGCCAACAACCGTCAGAAATAATGGTAAAGCTGATTGGCATGTAAAATGAAACTGGCAGATCTAAAAATCGGGAAGTATTGATTACATACTAGCAAACGAGACATTCTAGACTATTAAAGTTGCGGTATTATTTTTTAACATGGGCTAATTAGTGTAGCAGTCTTGTCTTAACGAGGTTATGCAAATGTGGATTACAACACAGTTCAATGGTCCCAGTAATTAGTGCGTCACACTGTGACAGTATGCGTGAGCATGTTTGCAACCGGTTAGGTAACCAGGATGTTATTTCTCAATGTGCAGTGGACAAACCACATGCACACGTTATCGTTAATTGATGTCTAGCAATAAATACATACTTCAGTGATGAAGTGGCTTTGTAGTCTAACTAACAAAACTTTATTATATTATGAGTGACCACCACTTACTGATATGCCTCTGATTTTATACCTAACTTCACTTGATTTGAGCAGGTGGGCAGCAGGGTTGTTGTACGACAAGGCTTAAAGTCAAACAATTTGGGGATGCAATCAGGTAAAACAACTATCGTTTTTCAAAAGATTTATATCCTTTGAATTGGGCTCCCAAAGAGTAGCTCGGCCCTAACAAAAAGCTATGATTTTGTGTGGTGCATACTATTGTGATCCCCAGTTGTATCAGATTCTCCATGAGACAAACTATGTATATATCCTTCATACACACTTTGACAAGATCTTTATATGCGGTTAGGGTGACGCAACGCACATCCTAGATACACATATACGCATTACATGAAACCGCCAAACTGGGTCTAACTGAATAGCAAAGTTTTTCCAGTAGACATACCACCATCTCTTGATAGCTAGTGATCATCCATTCTAAGTCTCCAAGATCTAGTTTGTTTACTTGTTGTAATGATACGATAAAAGCAGCAGTAACATATGGTGAGCGTGCTTGATCAGGCATATCATCCATTGTGGCTAGTAAATAACATTGATGATAAAATTAAGTTTACCACTTGCAACAACGACTCCATCTTTATCCGCAACAAAGATACCGAGGATCCCATCAACTCTATTTATATGGTCAAATAAACAGAAAACTCACTCAGACAGAAACCTTTTAAGATAGTCACAAGCAGACTATTGGATTAGATTGGAAGAGAGTTATTAACTAACCTCAGACATCCGCGACGTTAAAATCAATTTCTGTTGTTTTCAGCGGTGAGAGATACTGCGGCCGAGTTATGTTTAGAACTTCATAAACACTGGGATGTACCGCGCAACCTGTGTTTCGCGCTATTGAATAAGGATAATGTTCAAGTGGTTGTGGACGAAACAGAAAAGCTTTCGCTTAACGGGCTTCCGTGTCTAGTAGCAGTGGATCGCAAATACACAGACAAACATAACTTGCACTTAAATACATCGACTAGTTGAAACACTGTCTCTAATTCGCTTGCGCCTTCAATAGTTCTATAGTTGGGAGAAATGTGTACATGACCTGAATGGTTACCAACGATTAAGAGAAGTAAAAATTTCATAAGCTCCGATGAAATGCACTCATTACATTCACCAACGAAGTAGAAGAAATCGTAGTGAACGCTGGAGGCATTTATTTGTTGCTTCCAAATCTACAATCGTGTTAAGAAAACCTACAACGCGCAGTATTTGTTTAATTTTAAAATTTAATTTTTTTTTTTTTTTTTTTGAAAAAAAGGAATAGGTGGGCGGTTAATTCTTCTACACTTTTTATCATGTATTGGTAATTGATACGATACAGTGAGTTGGCGTAGTCGATGGTGTGACTTCCACGTAAGATCTTATAGATTAGGCAGTTATATCATGACGAATCTACAAATTTAGGATTAGGTCTATTATTAGAGCAGTACTAATATCGTAGTAGACCATAGTTCTACAGATCCTCTTGAAGTGCCTGTATATCGTCTTGGTTGCGTATCTCTCTCCAAAGTTTCACGTCGTCGGCAAAAAGTAATAAGTCTGACGTTACCTGTTGAGGAAGATCATTTATGTAAATCAAGAAGAGAAGAGGCCCTAGTACTGAGCCCTGGGGGACCCCACTAGGACATTCCATAGCTTGAGATAAAGTGAAATTAACCCTAACCTTAAAGTGTCGATTTTTAGGTATGAAGTAAGCCAGTCGATTAGAGGTGGTTTGATACCTAGTCGTTTGAGCTTGTTGATAAGAAACAAGTGGTTAACCTTATCAAAAGCTTTTGAGAAATCAAGGTAAATGACATCAACCTTTCCCTTGCGATCGAGGATGCTTGTCCATCTGTCCACCGCAGTCAGTAGGTTGGTTATACAAGAGTAACCCTTCCTGAAACCATGCTGTTGGGGTGAGAAGAAATGTAAGGACAGTAGATAGTCATTTAAACCGTCGCATATCAGGGACTCCATGAGTTTTGAAGGTAACGACAGAAGAGCTACCGGCCGATAACTTGAAGGTTCATTGCGTCGACCACCTTTGAAAATTGGTGTGATGTGAGCCAACTTCCAATTTTCCGGTAATTTGCCTCGGCTAAGCGAGTGTGAAAACATCACGCTAAGCGGCGTTGCCAGGATTGAGGCTGCCTCCCTTAGTATGGCAGGATGAACCATATCCGGGCCAGGAGAAGTGTCAAGTCTTAAGTGCTGCAGTTTCCGGAACACCAAGTAACCGTTCGGATATATGTGTGCAACAAGTCCAAGTATCATTGTTATCAATCTAAATCCTGAGTAGCCTTGCGTGGTGAAGAGTATTCCATAAAAATCTTTAAGACGGTTCACAGCCGTCCGTGTTTTTCAAAATTTACTATATGTGATCCGTTTGGCAGACGAATATTTGGTGACGAGAAGGAAAACTTGCCACCTTCATTGTAACAAATGCCCTCATTAGATAATGTGATGAAATGTGTGAAGGATGAGTTTAACAGAAAAACCACCACCTGTGTCGTAAATAACGAAGATTCTAGAATCGTTAACAGCGTGTAAGCTGGCTACTCTCGATACGACAAAGTCAGTTTTTTTACATTAGAGTGTGGTGTAGGAGAGTTGTGTGCATATGAAGCCCTAATTAGATACTGTTTTGCAAGCGAACAAGAGATTAAAGCGTATAGAAGGTGTCCTGAAGTTGTATTTATCATTTAGCATAATACGAACACGACAAGATTGTAATGTGTCCTTCTCGTGTATTCAAGGCCATTCGTATGGAAATTAATTGAAAATGAATTGCGTGCTTATTCAGGCCCACACACTGTCGCCAAAGGTACATGTTTGTCAACTGGTGCAAACGGAAAACTCCAAGCAGTACAGTTCATTTTTAGTTTATTGTAAAGCCTTAGACACTACTCGCCTGTAGTTTTACACGTACATATGTATTTTGTCACAGGATTCAACCATATGCTGGATCATCCGTTAGCACTCGTGGAGTGCAGCCAGCGGTGATTATGGTGCAGCTCTTAGGAGTCAAATAAAGTACGATCCTTTTAGACGTTGCTTCAGATGGGCAGAAACCCTTGATAGAACTGAATTCAGGGTTGTCCTGTATGCCCTAAAGAAATTCTGGACGACCTTCGACGTGCCTTCATTTTGTGACTTGATGAGAGCCCTCTTGAAAGCATTAATAAACACTCAGCCTGACCTTTTGACTAGGGATAGTAGGGCGGTGACTGAACGTATATAAGAGCGTTTCCTGGGTAGAAGTTCAAGAGGATTTCCAACGTAAACTGAGGTCCTTTGACTTTATTTACTGTTTCCGAAAAAACGAATTCCCTAGAAAGCCTATTTGGCACCTTAGCTCGTGATGTCGCTGAGGTTATAGGAACTAAGTAAATCTCCATCCATTATTTCAATGAGTTGATGATTGATTAGTCCAGTGAAATCATCATGAACACAGGATCATGATTTTTCTATACTTATCCGTGGGGGTATTTGTACTTTCGATGGCGATTTTATGGCTTGAGCACACCGTGGACACTTCCCGACCAAACTTTCAATGTCCTTATCAATCAATACCCAGTACATGTAGCTGCGTAACAGTGACTTCATGTGCTACATACCAGAGTGATTTTAGTGGAGTTGTTTTAACACTCGTCATAAGAGGGTTGTTAGGATGACCAGATGTTCCTTAATGATCAAACATGAAATTACAAGAAACGGTGCTTCACTTAGTGGGAAATACTCTATCAATTCATCATCAACTTAGTTTGCTCAAGCATTATACAAATAGTTCACGCCCTGTCGAGGTTCGCAATCAGATTCATAATACGCTCCTAGCCATTACAGGATTACTGTCCGTCATGAGACAACCGTATTATTAAGCGGTGAAATTAGAGGCGAATTCGGTGGAGAAAGAACTAGTCACAAACAGAAAGATAGCAGATCACTGAGATTGTGAAACAGAGGAACAAGTGTTCGGAGCGCCTTTTGCAATGGATCAGCCTCACTGAATTTATCGAACATCGAAGCAAAACAGCCCATCACCAGCAGAGGTAGTAACAGTATCAAATGTGATAGGAAAAATTAGGCATTGAAGATACGAATCTAAACGAAAACAAATTAGTGAGACAAGCACAAAAACTTTATGAGGAAATTAGAATCTCAGGATTTGTAGGAAGACAAAGAATGGATGCACCTGCGCCACTGCAGGCGATTTTGATTTACGCCATTCAAAGTCTCTAACCGTTAGCTACGATAATCACGGAGATCGCAACTCGATGGTCCGTACCTATTACCATGGCTATGCCCAGTTTTCAGTGACTTAATGAACTGATGCCATTGTAGATCACCAAGGTAGATGATCTATGTCTAAATGATTGGAGGCCTACTCGATTTAGACGTGAATGGTGTGACGAACCAAATAATGTCGATGTCACACCTCGTGGCCAGCACCTTACGTAGACTACCCCACTGACGTATCAAGGTACTATAGATGCTTTGAAGACTGTACAACACAAAGGACGCTATTACAGAAATATATTAGTTAAAGTAGATACAAGCGAAAGTAAGACCACTGCCGAACGGGCCAGTTCATGGCATACGATTAACTAATGCGCGTTGGTTGTACATGACCTTGGCAGGGAGCGATTATCTGTTCGACATTCAGTGAGCCAACTGCCGGATGATTTGGCTAGGGCTCAGTGACATTTCACTGGCCCTACACCATGTTCTGGTGTGGTCGCCCCTAACAGTTTGGCACATCATTCAGCACATGGCTATCGCGCCAGTATTATCTGACCCACACATAATCATAGGCACTCTCTCAAGTTATGTTGTTCGTCGCCTCACGCTATTATTTGCTACCACCTCTTTTTATTATGTCTTCGATCTGATAAATATGCAGCTGATTTTATCAGACACATGATAGACATGCTTGTAGCTCGATGTGTCCTTTTTATCATACCGTATAAATTCCAAAATACTTGAATGACGTAGGTCCGATAACTTCTGAAACTCTCATACATAAGCACACACATCGGGTAGCCTGAGCTCTAAGATGAGCCCCGAATATAGAACGAAGAATCGGTCAGATATAAGAGAGCGACTGACCGCAAAGGTTGGTTAGCGGGTTTTCTCCCGCTATTGAGCAACACTATGGGGAGGCCTTAAGTCTATCTTCGCTGAGCTACTGGCCAAATATTGTTTGACCTTGATCACAACCACAGGTTCAAAGCTTTTGTGGTTGTTGATCTCTTCCCTTGGGAATAGGGCGTGGTGGCGGAAGTATATCAAACTTCTCAAGAATAAGTGTCTCCTCGAAAATTCGGAACTGTGACGCAAAATAAAACTGAATTCTTCAGCTTTACATGGTATGAAATGACAGTTTGCTAGGATTATTCATATTTATACATGCTCTATGTAGCCAAAATAGACGACTGGATGTGTTTATAACTGTTAACCTAATAAAATTTCAATAAGTGTATGTTCCATGTATAGTGCTACAAAAGTTTTACTCCTAAGAACTCTCAGCGTTTCCAGCTGTTGGCGTCATGTACATTTACAAGCCAATCTTTATACCGCTAACCTGATTCCATCTCGAACGTTCTCATAAATCTTTTTCACATTCGGTATAGATAACATTTAGATACCTCGGTTTTTGATACTCAAACTATAGTTGATTTCACGCTGATATTGGCTCTAAGATTAGATAATATTTAAATATCTCGGCTTTTAATACTCCACGAACCATAGTTAGCTTTAGTACCTAAAGTGGCATCACGCTGATATTGGCCTTAAATTGCTTTAGATACTTATTCTCAGTATCTTCCCTAGTGACTCTAAAATCAACTTCTAGTATCTCAGCCTCTGAATCTATACTGTTAAAAATAACACTTGTTTAGCAGTCCTTGGCTTTTAATTCGATGGATCCCCCGAAATCATATAACTCGTTAGATTTGACCTAGAATGCAGGGCAGTGATGGTCCTCTTTCTGAGATTCTGTGTTGGTGAGATCTAGAAAAACCTACGAATTTATTTTATATCATTGTCGTACCACTTTTTATCACTATTCACCATCTCATAAATAATTATTTCACATAACACAGCTCTTCGTGTTCGTGAAATAAAAAGCATACTCATTAAGTAAAGTACTTGACAGATCGCTTATAAGTTTGAAGAAACGACAGCTACTTAATTACAACAGTAATTTCGAATGTACTGTGTTCTAACTTTTTGATATTCCAAATATTAGCGTGATTAAAAACCTTAATTATTTAGTTATCATGTCAATACCATTTTTTGCATAGATTGCTCAACATACAAACCTATATCGTAAACTGTTTTACAGTTCCCTATTGTTAACTCCGAATTCCTGTCTGTGTTCATGATAAAATAATTTTGTATTTTACACCTATTTCATATTTCATCCCTTTATTCTCTCTCTCTCTCTCAAATATCCACACTAAAGAAGTTCTGTTGTAATCAAACTAATGAGTTCCGGATTTACATACAAACAAAACGAGATAAAAAACCCTAATCAAATATCAAGCTTTTAATAACAAAATCTAACTTTTGTTAAATGTAAGTTCGCACCAATCTACGTATGCAAATACATTTTTAAGGTCGTATGGAGTATGCATTAAATTATATCAGTTCATTTGCTTTTGGATTATCACTTTCATTCATTCTATTGTTATGTTTCTGTTGGAATAAAAAACAAAGGTAAGCAAGTATTTACTTAAAAAAGCAATTAAACATTTACATTTTCTTTAGTTTAACTCAAAAAAGACACAATCCTATTACTGATAACAGTGTTACTTCCTGCCAAGTAAGTGTATTACAAGTGTCGACTTACTATTTAAGTACTCCCATACTCTTTATTATTTATTTATTTGAATACATAAATATTGGTATGAAGGAGCACCGAATACATATGCGTCACACAAGTCCATTGATTTCTATGTGGGCTGTGATACTGCCCGAGTGCTCAGACCGAAGCATGTGATTTTCTTAGGGGGCCATGCCCGGGGCCTTCGACCAAAAAGTCTGATCCACAAGGCAGTGGAGCGACGTCAGGAAGTGCAGTCCCATGGTAGCTGGTGGCCAATAATTGGTTTGTACTCCATTTGTTTCCTCAGGATCCTGTAACCTATGTGCATCATTGGTTTGGAATCAGGGTTTTCGACCCCTCTAGGTGGACCATTCGTGTCCAATAACCCGGATAAAGAACCGGACATTCGCCTTTCGTCCTCTCCATTTCATAAACAACGCCCCCGCCGCGAGAAGACAGTGAGTAGGTTTTCCTTGGCAGTGGCTTCATACGCATGGCCATGTGAGAGCATTTCGATAGGGAGAACAGACCCTTCTCACCCTCGGCCGTACCGAGGCATTCGGAGCCCCCGTACTCCTAGTTCTCGTAATGAAGACAACATTTGAGCTCTCATTTCCTTTGGCGTTCTTAGCTTTTATTTTGATGTACTGCTGGGGGCGACTCTGTTCAAGACATTCGGCTTTCATCAAGTAAATCTCAGGTTCTGTTTGTACATCCAGGCACTATCGCTATTCATAATACAATCAACGTATAGTTCGAAGTCAAGTAACTAGATTTCAACCCAGCAAATGAGTTAGTTGTACTAGGCTTGTTTTAACATGTGATTGTGTTTGAACACTTATTTTAATAGAACACATCAAATTTAGGGATTACTTACTTACGCCTGTTACTCCTCGTGAAGGAGCATAGGCCGCTCACCAGAATTCTCCATCCAACCCTGTCCTGGGCAATCATTTCCAGCTCATCTCAGTTGTTATTCATCCTTTCCATATCCGCTTCTATTTCCCGACGTAGTGTGTTCTTTTGCCTTCCTCTTTTCCGTTTCCCTTCAGGATTCCAAGTTAGGGCTTGTCTCGTGATGCAGTTTGGTGATTTGCATAATGTATGTCCTGTCCATTTCCATCGTCTTTACCGGGTTTCCTCTTGAACTGGGGGCTGGTTTGTTCTCTCCCACAAAAGGCCGTAGCTGCGACTTTGACGCGGTGGTCGGGCTTGCCTATCGTCATGACCCAACCGAGCTATATTGGCTGGAATATATGTTCCTGTAGGTTCTACCATGCCAGGCGAGTCGATTGGAGAACGGTAAAACTTGAAGCAGTAACTCAAAGTCTGAGGGCGAACTCGTACTGCTGACTGTAGAGGTGTGTGACAGCAGTAAGGTGTTCCCCTCGAACAACCATCATCTGCAGCGATCCTGCCTTCTTACAAGGAAGGACGGGGTTAGAAAAGGTTGACCCTAAAAATGTCACACCTCACCTTACCTCACGGATTTCCGTCTCCGGCGGTAAGGCCCTTTGAAGAACAGAACTATCACATTAAAAAACTCCCAAGAAAGGGCCGTGCGCAACCGGCCTCAAGCAGTTGTCTCTTGGGCTTTGGAGTCACGCTCCCAGGTCGTTAAGGCCAACATTAGTCCAACTTCTTTTTCAGGTTCCTCAAGAAATACCCTTCCACGGTGTGGGCAGTCGGGAAGTGACATCAGCCCTCATACCCGTAACAACACACGAGACCAAGTTTGTCACATTCAAATCCTTCCTACACCTCCTAATACCTCTCTTATCTCCATGACTAACCCTCCTCACGTCTCTTTATCACCTCGCACCTCTAGGGCAAACGATTCGAGTACGCGGAACGTTATTCCTGGTCTCCTGAAACCACGCTCTAAACTACATGTAGGAGTTTTTAACGTCCGAACACTGTGCCAAATAGGACAACAATCTTCCTTAGCTAGGACTTTAGAATCTCGCGCCATCGATGTGTGCTACGTCTCCGAGACGCGCATACAGGATCCAAGTAGCGTCATTCATCTAACCTCACCATGCCAAAATAAAGAACCGAATCGATACACACTTCGTGTATCTGGAAGCCCAGATTCTGCTTATCGTGGCCTCGCCAGCGTAGGTATAGCACTGAGTCCTAGGGCAGAACTAGCTCTCTTAGACTGGATCTCAGTAAACAGTCGTTTGTGCGCTGTCCGACTAAACGGAACAGTAAGAATCCGGAAAGATAGGGACACTCGTCGTTGCCTCTTCGTTGTCTCTGCCTATTCTCCCACTGACTGCAGCTCAGATGATGTAAAAGATGAGTTTTACAGAAAGCTCTCCGAGCTTCTCCGAAAAGCTAGGCGCTCGGATGTGGTAATAATGGACGGTGACTTTAATGCTCAAGTAGGTAAACTAAGCGATAGGGAAAGACACCTGGGTGGATCTTATAGCATCGTGGCTCAAAGAACAGATAATGGCGACCGTCTGTTGCAGCTATGCTCAGATAACCACCTGTTCCTTGCAAATACTAACTTTAAGTATAAGGAACAACATCTTTTGATATGGCGACCCCCTAATTCGTCCCAACGTTGGACCCGAATAGATCAAATCGCTATCAGCCATCGATGGAAGGGCTCGAGAATGCTTATGTTCCAGGATCTGCCGAAGGGTAAATGTTCGGTCTATACATCCACACCCAGGTTTGAAACCAGCCGTTTTCTTATATTTGCTCTTCATGAGCTCTAGTCAGACGTCAAAATATTATTGAGGCTAATATCTTAGACACTATATTAGTAACACTGATTCATCTGTTGTTGGCACGAGGGGACTTTCGTCTTTCTTATAGACTAGGACGATCAGCAATCGAGAACATTCAGATGGGATTACGTTCATTTTCCAGATTCTAACGAAGATCTCAATTAATTTAACTGGTAAAACTGAACAACCGTACTTAAAAATCTTAGGGGTTAGTTCATCCATCCCTCGCTTTAGATTGCCTATAACATTTTCAATCTCACTAATAGTTGAAGGACTTACATCAGTTTGCCGTCCAGGTTACTTGGAGATAGTGGGTAACTGAAGTGTGGTTGAAGGCAAGCTGAACTATTCCTTAAAGTGTTCTGCCCATCGGTCCAGTCCCTTGGATTGTGAGTGAATAATAGTCCTGTCTTTTTCCGAGATAGTTTCACTAACAACCGAATTTTCAATACCCGTTCCCTTGATAAGTCTGAACAGCTGTCTGCTGTTACCTATCGCTGTTGTCTTTTCCATCTCTTCTGCTTTCGTATCCCACCACTGCTCACGATCATTACGTAGGCTTTTGATCAACCTACATTTAGGTTGCCTTCGCCCCTCATTGTGTTCAAAGCCAGACGGGATGTTTCCGAGCAACTATCAGTTCTGTTGACGCTAATGAAATCCACTTATTTTTCCCAAACCTTTTCTGTTTCTATGGCTTTCTGGATATCATACCAACTTGGTGTTGGTGTTGGTATTTTCCAGGAATAGACGGTTATCTGAGCATAATCGCAACAGACGGTTGCTATTATCTATTCGCTGAGCCTCAACACCATAAGCTCTGACTAAGTGACTTTTGGTTTGGTTTAGTTTACTCAAGAATTAACTTCACCCGCCACTATTACTACATCAGAGCGTCTAGCTTTTTGAAGGTTGGATAGCTTCCTATAAAATTCATCTTCAACTTCGTCCGAGCTGCAGTCAGGAGTATAAGCAGAGACAACGAAAAGATAACGTTGAGTGTCCCTATCTTTTTAAGTTCTGACTGTCCCGTTTAGTCGAACAGCGTATAAGCAACTGTCTATTGGAATCCAGTCTAGGAGAGCCTGTTCTGCCTTAGAACTTAATGCTATACCACAGGAAGTAGCAGTGACACCTCCAGATGCTTGGAGGATAAATCGTACAAGTTCTTTATATTGACGAGGTGATGTCAAGTGAATGGCTGTACCTGGATCCTGTCTGCATGTTTCGGAGACTCACCATACATCGGCGGTGCGAGAAGCCTATTGCCCTATATGACACAAGGTTCGAACATTAAGAGCTGCAATATGTAGTGTAGAGTGTTGTTTCAGGAGACAAGGAATAACTTTTCGTGAACTCAAACCATTAGCATTGGTGGCGCATGGTGATAAAGATATGTGAGAAGGACTAATCATGGGAATGGAAGAATTATTAAGAGGTGAGGGAAGGATTCGATCATCAACAAGATAACTTCGCTTGCCAGTAGAGGTATGAGGGTGGTTGTCACTTCCCGGCTGCCCACACCGTGGAAGGATATTCCTTCTTGAGAGACCTGAAGAGGGTGCTGAACTATTGGTGGTCTTAGCGACCCGGAAGCTTGATTGTGGAGCCAAAAAGACAAATACTTGAGGCTGGTCGAGCACGTCATTTTATAGGAAGTTTTTGACGAGTTCGCCTCGCACTTCAAAAAGTCTTACCGCAGGGGACGGAAATTCGTGAGGTAAGGCGAGGTGTGATATTTTCGGGGTGAAGCTTTTCTAACCCCTACATTCCGTTGTGAGAAGACAGCATTGTTACACGTGCCGGTTGTCCTAGAGAAGCACCTTACTGCTGCCACAGCCCTCTAGAGTCAGGAGTACAACTTCGCCCTCGTGCCTTAAGTTGCTGCTTTTAGTCTTAACTTTCTCCAACCAACCTACCTGGCATGGTATGACCTCAAGAAACCAATATCCCAGCTAATATAACTCGGTTGAGTTATCATGATAGGCAAGCCCGACCACCACTTCAAGTTAGCAGCTACAGCCAGGTCGATAGATGGACCTCAATGATATAATTCGACCCAGTAATGGCTATTTACGAGACTGTATAATCGAATTAAGCCCTCGAATGATCAAAGTTGGAGACAAGACCACTAACCAGATGAATGGATCTTTGTGTAATAAAATAAAATCCTTAGATTCAAAATAGACAGGGCTACTCACTCTCGTCCTTTCTTTTCTTGTGGTCGACTGGATTATGGAGACCACATCTGAGGGGAAGCATGGAATATAATGGACAGCTTAGATGCAACTAGATGATTTGGACTTCTCAGATGACCTAGCTCTTCTATCTCATGTACATCAACGAATGCGGGCGAAGACAGCCAGTGAAGCAGCAGCATCTACAACAGTAGGTCTCATCATTCACAAGAGGGAAAACAAGATCCTCAAATACAACACAGAGAAACAAACAAGTAACATCTGTTAGAGAAGTTCTGGAAGAGAGGAAAAGTTCTACGTACTTGGGCAGCATAGTCGATGAACAAGGAGAGTCTGATGCAGACATAAAAGCAAGGATTTGCAAAGTAAGGGTAGCATTCCTATTATTAGAGAGCATATAGAACTCAAAACAACTGTCTGCAAGCCAACATCGAAGTCAGAATTTTCAATACGAACGTCAAGACAGTTCTAGTGTACGAAACTGAAAATTGACGAACTGCTGCAACCATAATCAAAAGGGTACAGTTATTTACAAACAATTTTGTGTGCCAAATATCAATTTTCGTTGGCCGGATATCACCAACAACCTACTGTGAGAGAAAACAAAGCAACTTCCAACTGAAGAGGAAATTACGAACAGATGCTGGAGTTGGATAGGACATTACGGAAATCATCGAACCGCATCACAAGGCAAGCCCCAACTTGGAATCCTGAAGACAAAGGAAAAAGAGAACGACCATGGAATACATTGCGTCGAGAATTAGATCGAGACACAAAAAGGATGAACAACACTCGGAAACAACTGGAAAGAAGAGGTCTGGGCAGAGTTGGCTGGAGAATCCCGGTGGGCGGTCTTTGCTCCTCCACGAGGGGTAATCAGATTAAGTAAGTAATATACAAATTTTGAACACAAAATAAACATGACGAAATATCATAGGCTATTCGAGGAAATTAGTTTGTTGGTCACCCGTTTTTCAATCAATAAAGACGTGATTGTTAGGCATAAACATTTTACATCGTATCATCCACACTACTCGAGCCAATAGCTAGTGGTTCAAACCATCAATGTTATTTATTATTCTGGGTATTGTAAACTTTTTAAAAAATATAGTCTTGTGTTAAACTGTATGATCTCCTGTTTAGGCAGTAATTCGATATTCGTAATTAATGTGCACACTGTTTTAATTACCGGAATTTCATAAATTCATCACCAGATCTCTCATATTTTCCTAGCACTTGAAGTCTAACATCATCATTCCATCAATCATAATTCTGACATTATTTTCTAGGAGACTTGGGATTTAAAAAATGCTTGAAACCTACCACTATTTCATGTTCCTCTCTGTCATGTTTGTCGAATAACGTGACTGTAAATGTTCTAACTATTCTTTTAAACTATCCGACTTTGAAGATAAGTTCATAGAACTTTTCCCAATCATCGTAAAGTGCTGATGTTTGAAATTAAATTAGTATCTATACCCGTTAACTTTGTATGAAATATACTGGTTTTTTTTTCTATTTTAGAAAATCACTTACAATCACCATAAATCTTTCACAGTTAGACTCATTCGACCGCATAAATGTGCACTTAATACTGTTGCCAATACTGCCACTACTACTGCTGAAACTAAAACTATCACTACCACCAAGGTTAACATCAATCATGATACCACCAATCATGTATCAATTAAAAATTCTAATTTATTCGTCAATGAAGATGATTTGGCGTATGCTACCACAATTGGACTAAATACAAATATGAATAGTACGGATATTATATCTCCTAGTAGTTATCCATTACTACAGTATGTGTTTACAATTCCTTTGCTCGTATCCTATTCAGTTTTTCTATTATTATTATTATTATTATTATTATTATTATTATTATTATTATTATTATTATTATTATTATTATTATTATTATTATTATTAAGTGCTTGAAAGCTACCTGGATGAAGTTTAGCATATAGTTGACTGATTTAAAATCATTTGGAGGGGCATAGATACATTCACTCCTTATCTTACCCTTAATCATGAATTCTAATATTCCTTCATACATTATCGCTTTGCCAACCATAATCTCCAGTGTTTAACATTTTTTTCCTATTTTTGTTACCACTATTACTTTTACTCATTTGCTATTCATCTTGCTAGTTTGATCTCATCGTCCTGAGTAGGTATGGCAGTTTGGGCTAAAGCATATTTGTGTTAGGTTCTAGATTGATTTTAATTGGCTGACTAGCCTTTATGTAACTATAGTATACCTCAAAGCCGAGTGTATAGATTTCCGACCTGATGTATATTTGAAATGCTCACCATTTTCCTGTGCAGGAGTTGAAATATATATATATATATATATATATATATATATATATAATCCGGAACTCATACGACGGACTACAGTGCAAAGTAGTGCATGGAGGACAGCTGACAGATGCATTCCAAGTAAGGACCGGAGTCAGACAAGGCTGTTTACTCTCTCCCTTCCTTTTTCTCCTGGTGGTCGACTGGATTATGAAGACCTCAACATCTGAAGGAAAACACGGAATACAATGGACAGCTCAGAATCAATTAGACGATTTGGACTTCGCAGATGACCTAGCCCTCCTATCACGTACACACGAACAGATGCAGATGAAGACAGCCAGTGTAGCAGCAGTCTCTGCATCAGTAGGCCTCAGCATACACAAAGGGAAAACTAAGGTCCTCAAATTCAAAGCGGAGAACAGCAATCCAATCACTCTTGATGGCGAAACTCTGGAAGATGTAGAGTCCTTCACATACCTGGGAAGCATCATCGATGAACAAGGAGGCTCAGATGCAGACGTAAAGGCGAGGATCGGCAAAGCAAGGGTCGCATTCCTACAATTGAAGAACATATGGAACTCAAAGCAACTTTCAACCAATATCAAAGTGAGAATCTTCAATACGAATGTCAAGGCAGTTCTACTGTATGGAGCTGAAACTTGGAGAACTACAACAACCACAATCAAGAAAGTACAAGTATTTATAAATAGCTGTCTTCGCAAGATACTCAACATCCATTGGCCGGATACCATCAGCAACAGCCTTCTGTGGGAGAGAACAAACCAACTTCCAGCTGAAGAAGAAATTAAGAAAAGACGATGGAAATGGATAGGACATACATTACGCAAATCGTCAAACTGCATCACGAGGCAAGCCCTAACTTGGAATCCTGAAGGGAAGCGAAAAAGAGGAAGGCCAAAGAACACATTGCGTCGGATAATAGAAGCAGATATGAAAACGATGAATTACAACTGGACGGAGCTAGAAAGGATTGCCCAGGACAGGGTTGGATGGAGAACGCTGGTGAGCGGCCTATGCTCCTTCACGAGGAGTAACAGGCGTAAGTAAGTAAGTAAGTAATATATATACTACTGAAGACGATAAAAGTAGAGTACGGGACAAAATCGAGAGATTCTTAAAATAACTGAGTACTTTTAGAGCTACTTTTCAGCCAATGAGCAGAGAGTCTTTACAAATCAAAGTATTTCTCAATGGAAACAATTAAATCTGTCAGATTTTTTGAGTTTTAGCAAATCTTACGATTTGTTATGGCTTATTATCATTTCTCTGGTATTATTATTGTAGAAATATTATTACATAACTTCAATAAACAGAGTATGAATTGATTTATGCCTAAACTTTGTTTTTGAATCTTCTTCATAATCATAAATAATGAAGTAAGAAATTCATTATCACCTACAAATTTACTTAAGACCTAGTGACATGGCTTTGTAAGACATGCGTAAAATTCTTACGTCATAACTTTGGAGATTATTCAGTAAACCACCAATAAAATAAATATTTTCCAAGTTTACAATCAACACGGTACATGGAAACAAAAATTGATTGATTAATGTACTATGTAAAATCAGAATGTAAGAAAGTGATCAGTTAATACATCATCATTTTACTGTAGAATGTCAGTAATAAATATTTCTTAACACTTTTAAATAAGGTTTTCTATTGTATAATTTATGAGACAAAAGATAGAGGTCTTTTTTTCAATTTCGTACAGACACTTGAAAGTAGTTTTCTCGATTATGATCACTCGAACCCAATATCCTTAAATTCAATCTACTTTCCTTTAATTTAACTTATTTCTTAAGAAAAAGAAAGCATTCATGCTCACAGATTTTCTGAATCTTATTATCATAATCTATTTTCATGAAAGTATAGTTGCTATTGAGTACAGAATTGTTAGGGGTTCATAATCTACGTTGATGACTGCCTAGAGCATTCTTTGTAACTTGGTTGCCTGATGTCTAACTCCTTGGTATTTGAATAACGTAGTGTTAGATTAGATTCGAGTATTGGTGTGTGTGTGTGTGAGCATCAACGTTAGGTTACTACGGGTACTACATCCAACTGACGAGTCCCCAAGTGATGCGAAAAACACTTCCTGTAGTCTGCTAATTTCTTCTTTCTTGTATAAATAAGTGCTATTACTTTCAAACCACTAAACTGTTATCCAATGGTTCACATTTTTAACATTAAGTTGACTCTTGATATTTTGCAGCGGTCATGAATTACCGCCAGTGATAGCTATCTCACGTACAAAATCAATTCGAAACGTCTATAAAATCTCGGAGAAAATGATCCAAATTGTGAAATAGGTATAAAATTTTCTTCCTATTTTTTTTTATAAATCTTTGAACAAAGAATTTAGGAATGAAAACGAAAAAAAAAACAGCAGGAAATCTTGAAGAACTTAATTACCACAATGATCTCATCGAGTTTAAACAAAAAGAAATCGGTGAACTATCTAACATACAATCGTCTTATTATTATTTTTAACATTTTGGCTTGTTGTCATGTGATTGGTTTTCATTATAAATAAATGTTTACCCGTTTGATAGATAATGTATTTAATGAATGAGTAATTTTTCTACATTTAAATGAATAAATATAATCAAGGTGAAATTCTTTCGTTGATTAACTATTGTTGGAAGTGATTGCATTCTTGAAAGTTAAACTATCATCAAATCATTGGTGTGTTAGCCTCAATAATTTACAAATTCTGCCAAAAAAAACACAACTGTGGTGGTGAACTAAATTCGAGTTTAACTATCTGAAGTGCAGTTACACTATATCGGATAACTTCATTCAATAACTCTAGCCATTCGAAACAAACAATCTGCCGAAATATTTGTCAAATTCGTCATTCAAGTAGGAATCAGAAATTCAACTAATTAATTAACGGGATAATAAATCACGGCTCTAGATCCGAGTCCTGCACGATATTGTGGATGCTCATTGTTTTAGAGTCCCATAGTTGGACAGGATGCCCTCCGAATGTTTTTAGGCTTTTAATACTGATCTAACTTAGATCTGTTCATGTTTTCGAATGGAATTCAATAATATTCACACCCTCATACTAATTAAATAATATATTCTCAAAATAGAATTTATTTTTAATGAATCATTTTTCATGCTTTTTATTTAGTCAAGACAGCAATACACATAGGAATTGTGAACTTCCACCAGTACCGACATACTTCGATGCGGCATTTACTGAGGTAAGTTAGCGCTTTGATAATATACAGTGAATTTCTTCGTAGTAGCATTTAATAGTGTGGACTTCTAACCATAATTATTCTGAGAACTTATCCCATGTCTACCAATCATTACAGGAAAAAGTAGGACAATATCACGAACGAGTTTATTTCCTTCTCTTGTAAGGGGGATTTTTTCAGATAACTTGACACTGTTCATCAGGGTCCTGCTACTAATCGACAGAATGGTAGACAGTACGAAGATTGGTACAGAAACTAGGGGATAGAAAGTAAAATATGAGCAATGCCGGATAGATGGTATTCAATTAGTGAGAGGTAAATTTTTATGGGTTGTGAAATGGTGGAGAATGGGTTGTTATAAATAGGCGGATTTTCCACCTAGATAAAACCTCTTCATTCCACACAACCTTGGTCTGTCTTTGGACAATCATTTGGTTGAGCATTAGGAAGGTGACGATGACTAAATCGGACAGTAGAACACAAAGTAAAGTTAAAGCAAGGTTTATACTGCTAAAATGGTCATTTGTAGTTTCAAAAAAGCGACTGTTTAGCATAAGTTTAATATTTCTGATGGTAGTCATATCCTCTTCATAGAGCTATAACAAAATATAGAAGTGTAGCAAGAAAGTGTTGACATCCTCTAGTATAGTTTAGGAGAGCAATTTTTTCGATTCATTGACCTAACCCTACTCTCTGTATATGTAAATCTCAAAGAATTCATCAGGGTACACGAAGATGAAGAAATCGTAAAAAGACTACGATACAGAACTGGAAACCAACTCTAAGGGTTACTTATTGATTAATGTGTAAAAGTTTATAACCTGCAGTTCATAAACCAAGAGAGTAAATGCATGGTTATGAAATGCATAAATTACTCTTGGGGTTTATTGATGAACAATAGAAATATTGGAATAACCTGAAAGTAGATCACAAATATTATGATTTCCCCTAGTCTAGAAGCATATATTTCTGAATTTGTTTCAAGTCGAGAATCACAGACCAAACTGTATCAACCTAGCTAAATATAATCAATATAATGCATATTAAAGGAGTCATAATTAATAATAGTGAGAAAGACTAAATGTAAGGAATATGGTTTAAGAAGGATGAATAATTTTACGTGATGGAAAGTATGAAATAGTGTAATGAAACTCAAAATTCATAGAATGATGAAGAATAAATTCATCTGTTTCCCTGAGATCTTGTTCAACCTTCGATCATACCTATCATGTGAACCCCATCAATATAGTTTGAAACTACCAATATTTTATGAACCGATGCCACGTCTTCGTTTGATTGATCCTAGCTTTATTCCAACCTAAGTCATTCGACATTGTGCATCCAAAAAGATAGCGATTGCGTATGCGGAACATGTTCTGACCATCTTAGTCAACATTTATTAAAAGATCCATCAACAGATTTTGTTATCTTTGCGTGGTACTTTACGCCTCATGTGAGCGTTGTTCAATCGATTGTCCCACCATACATGTCTCATTTACCCTTACCATACAGATTATTTGTGAATTACATTAATTGACCATTCAATTCAGCTTGGAGGTTGATGCAAATATGCATCGGTCCAAGTTCCCACACTAAATCAATACATCGAGATGAAATTATCAAGCTAAATAACAAGTAAGAGAAATAAAAATAATATTTAATGATGGTTAAAAAAAGATTAACCATAACGAATATGAATCTGCAGAATAAAATGTATAAGACAATTTTAAAACTCAAAACCTAAACAAAATCAAAAAGTGAATACATTTGGACCATTGCAACCTGTTTGAGCCATGTCACTTAATGTCTCCAACCATTAGTTACGGTGATTACGCAAACCCTAACCAGTTAGTTGAAACCTATTAGCTTTCTTCTGGTTTATTTCTACCTCAGCCAAAATTGGGCATCAAGGTAAGCTTTGATTAAGCATGTGTAATACATCCTCATCCATCTCAGTCAGTGAAACTTCACAATCTTATGCATAACTTTTGAATAACATAGTTTTATTATTGGTATTCATACTTGTATTTTTCTGTGTCATTATTCTCTTCATTCTAATTATCATTTAGAATAAACAAATTAAAATTGATCATCATCAAACTCATGTTGATCATGCACCATTACCAGAAGATAACATGGATCAATTAACATGTTATTATTATTCAATCCCAACAGTGAAACAACTAGTTAGTAATAAGCATCATTTATATGATGTTACCATCCCTAAATTATTACAATCAATTAAAAAAAATTCATTAACAGGAGTTTCTGATACAAACAATCGATGTTATTCATTATGTGATGATGATGTTGATGATCCAACATCGGATTCTGATGGGTTGTATGCGAGTGTAAGTCATCCTCCGCCTCCATTTCCCTCTTCTACGATTGGTAACAATTTTGTTACACAAGAAACACTTCAACACATAGAAACAATAGTTAATGTAAATATTACTCCGACTACTACTACTAATAGTAATTCAATGCATACTAATAAAAACATGACTGGAAATAGTAAGTTTTCGCCATTGATTCGTGCGCATTCTACTTTTTTTTGAAGGAAAATATCCTAGAGGTATATTATTATTATTATTATTATTATTATTATTATTATTATTATTATTCAACTTAATGGATAAGATCATAAAAATGATGAGATGAGAAGTAAAATTGAAAATTTCCTCATATACAAGATTAATCCCTTTCAACAGGCATTAAAATGTTTAAACAACATGTAATAGTCTACAGAATCTGTGATCCTACCTATTAGGCAGGTAAAAATATAATTTATATTTGATTAAAAGATTTATTAACATTATCCAAAGTTAGATTTTGTCATAACGATTCGATAATACAACTACAGAGCTATTAACAATTACTAGGGAGTACTGGATAGATATTTTAGCCTATTATAACATTATTCAGTTAGTACACATACCTGCTATATCGCTAAGAGTATAATCCAGGATTTTCATTTCTCACTATCAGTGTGTTATCTTTAGCTCATGGAATCACAATCGAATTGTTCACGTTTTTGACGTCTAATCACAATTCAAAATCACAGCTCGAAATCATCTAACACCATTAGTGGGTTTTATTGAACATTAAAACAATTAAAATTTAATATTTCAATAGTCATTCTGTTGTTGCAATCTAAATTAATATAATTCGTATAGGGATTGGGAATAAATAAAGCTAGCCAATAAAAAAGAGAATAGAACATACACATACTGGACAGTAATGGGAAATGCAACAGAATTGATAATTATGGGCAATATAGCCTTATCTATAAGTAGCATACAGCTTTCATGGATTGTAAGCCATGAAAAAAGACAGATCACACCAAAGTCAGACTGAGTTTGGATGCTAAGCGTCTAAAGAAATAAATACAACTGATCATCTTGATTTATTTATTTAAAAACATAAACATTGATACAAGGAGGCACCGAATATATATGCGCCACACTTCATTCGGTCTGTGTGAAGGCTGGAATACTTTCTGGGCGCCCAAACCAAAGCTGATGGTTTTCTTAGGGGGCCACGCCCCCTTTGACCTAAAGGTCTAATAAACAAGGCAAAGGAGCAACGTTGGGAGATGCAGCCCATGTTAGCCAGTGACCAACAATAGGTTCATACACCAATTGTTCCCTCAGGATGCTGAAACCCATGTGCACCATTTGTTTGGAATCAGAGTTTTCCAACTTCCCTAGATAGATCTTCCATATCCACCAACCCGGTTAATGCTCCGGACACTGGTTGGTAGTTCAAATTTTTGAATGAGTTGTAAACTTCATAAATAAAATCATTAGGACAATAGAGAAATATGATGACTTGTGTAATCACCATAATAGTAATAGATAAAGTAATAAATTTCAGAATGTTCCCAAAGATTTTTTTCTCGTTAATAATCTAAAATGTATGTGAAACAGCTATCGAAAATTTTCTCTATTTTTATGCAAAATTTTCGGGCTTTTCTCACTCACTATCAACTGAAGTGTGAAACTGTTTATTAGTTTACATATATGACTTAACAACAAAATTTATCTATCGAATCTAACTTGAAATGCTAACTGATACCATAGTGGAAATCGGTTAAGAGGAGAGGATCACTCTATCTATGTACATACACTGATTATCAGTTCCAAACTAAGGTCAAACTAATTTTCATTTTAATAGTTGAATTCATGAGTCGATGTAAGCTAGACCACCAATGAAAACCAGGAAACACTGGACGGCCGTCTCGTCCTAGTAAGAGACTACTCAGTAGTGCGCATGCATGACTCGAACCCAGGACCTTTGGTCCGGTGCGCGGACTCTTAACCTCCAGAGCAATGAGTCGGCATCCGACGGTGTTAATGTCTAACTTCAATCGATCCATGATCTTTCGTAACCATTCATCCATTGTCTGAGGTAGATACCTGTCTCTACTTGACACGGATTACACACCACAGATCACTGCTTCTCACTAGAACTCCAGGAAATTCATCTTGAAGCCAGTCACTAATGACCACATGATGATTATTATCAGAATGCGCGTTTATGGGGATTGTATTAATTTTAATAGTTGAATTCATGGACCGATTGGAGTTAGACATTAACACCATTGGGTGCTAGCTCAGTGATCTAAAGGTTAGGCATTCGCGCGCGAGACCGAAGGTCCTGGGTTCGAGTTATCCATATGGGACCGTGGATGCGCACTATTAAATAGTTCCATACTAGGACGAAACGGCCGTTCAGTGCTTCCCAGGTTTTCAATGATGGCCTACCTTACATCGACTCATGAATTCAACTATTAAAATTACCACAATCTCCACAAACCCCGATTCTGATATTAATTTTCATTTCTTTAATTAGTAATGATTTTTCTGTAGAAGTTTAAAGTAGCTTATCAATTGTTTTGTAAATTTTCAAAAAAAATTTTTCTTATATATGAATATATATATATTTCTTTATTCATCAGGACGTGATCCCTGTCAATCACATTATTCTCAATTAAAAGACGAATGTAACATGGGTAATAATAATAGTAGTAATAATGAAAAGAAGCGGGACGGTAATACAAAAAATCAGTACCATGGTGTTACTATAGTTACCACGACCGCTAATAATGCCGGTGTTACACTTCAATTTCCAAAATTCTCTTCAAAGATTTCAAATGATAATAATAATGATAATTATAACAGTAATAAAATTACTGATAACTGTCAACTATCTAATCAACCGACTTGTCATAATCATACAAAGATTGGAAATTGTTACCAATGTTCCGTAAGTTAATGTTGGTATTTTCAGATCATCAAGATGAATTCCAATGATTTACATTTTCAGTATCGATTATTTCATGATATAAAACCATCATCATTGAGTACCGTTTGTGTTAACTCCGTCTATCGGTCTCCTTCTCTCTTCCGTCATCAGTCATGAATTCTCGCTATAATACGTTCATATTTTTGATGAGAAGTTTTGTGAAGAGATTAACTTAATTTGTAAGTGCTTTTCATCACAGATTGATATGAGTTAGGGTAAGATCAGTGAGCATTGAATATCTGCTTTGTTCATGCCAAAGTGAGGCTAGCAATCATCACTGACGGTGTTTTATTGCAAATTGTTCGAAGCTGGAAATGTAAGCTATTTTAGGTCAGATTCTACGATCTTAAGATTAAACGCTAACTATGAATCGTTAAAGCCCTATATTCAATCTATAGTGATGTTGTAAGTACGGGCTACCGAGTAATCGCTTACCATGTCGGAACAGCTATACAATCTTGTCTGGTTTTCAATGGTACGCTAACTGGATATCCTTTTGTGACAAATACCGCATATAATTCAATATTTCTCAAAATTTAGTCCAGATTTCTAAAGCTGGTATTTTCAAACTTCTAAACTGCTCGTAATATTGAATCCGGCTCCTTAAAACTCATCTTCCTCATGACTGATTAACAAAAGTGCCAACTTATTTCACACCTTATCAATTTCGATGTGAGATACAATAAACTCTCTAAGTTTCTATTTTCTCAATTGCTAAATTATAAGTTAGATCACTGTTGAAGGTATGAGAATAGTGCGTAATTATGTTGTAAGCCTTTTATTTTATTAAATCGGGTTCCCAGATTGCGTACTCTAAATAATACTTAACACCCACCATTGACCCTTCCCTCAAGTGATTGTTACATGAGTTGTCGTCGAAATTTATTTTTTCATTCAAACTGACCAAATCTTGTCTGGTAGCACATAGATTCCGCTTCGATAGGACATCATAGATGAAATGCACCACACAAATGAGGTGAAAAACTTGTGAAGAAGCAAGGGAGTGAAGTGTAGTTCAATTAGTAAATAAATGAACAATAATTATACTTAATAAAAAACAAATTCCAGCTAAAAATACAGACAAGAAAGACTTGTTGGAGGAGTTCATCTCATTCTTTCTATGAATCGGATCGAAAACTACAACGGGATCGCCACTAGTTTCTATTATGTGCCATATCTAGATAACATCACTAAGTTACAGGATTTCTGGCCACTCCAGCCTAAGAGTTATCAAGAACCGATAGATCCTAGTCTTATAAAGCTGTCTTTCATGCTACAACGCTATGTATGACTGATATTATTCACATTAGAGTTATTTTAGACAATATTTAAAGAAGACTTATCAACACTATATGAAATAAATATTCGTAGATTCGAAAAGCTAAGAGATGTATCTAATACACGAATTATTACATAATTGAACTCTTTAAATTTATTATTAAATTATCTAATAACAAGAAAATTTTGAAACAGGTTGTGATATAGAGTTGATTGATAAATTTTCAATTAAATAATTAATATCAAGAACTGATATACTTCAGCAGTGCGCTTTCAATATTCCATACATGAAACTCTAACCCAGGAGATCAAGCGTTCATGTGTGACACCGATAGTTCTGAATTCGTGTCCAGTACTTTCTGCTTTTCAATAGTGGTCTGGCTTAAATCCGTTCATGATTTCAATAAAACTAAATATATGTTTGTACTTAGTTTTAATCTGAACTGGTCAGTTAAGCGATTTGCTAAAAATTTGTACAATTTCCAGTTAATAATGAGAACCCATTTTAACATTAAATTGAGGCTTAAAAACCTCGTGGTAGACATGATATTACTCAATGATTCAGTCATTTTTCCAGTATATGATATTTTACCAATACACACCTTCAAAGTATCATATGTATTTCGTATGGGAAAATAAAATAACTTGAAAATATTGCATCTGAGTTACAATTGGAATACGTAAGTACGAAGTTCTATCTTGTTGATGACTGACTGACTGACTGATGACTGACTGACAATTGAGATAAGTTAAATTCTAGCGTTAACTACAACCTGTCTCCATACAGATTAATACAACTTAATCTGTAATTAATTTAACTAATATTCACTCATTCTGTTTATATAAAATTGATATTTCAGACAACACCTTGTGTTCATCTGTATGCTCAAGTTACACCGTGTACAAGAACACAACAGTCTACTCTCGCTGACTCAGAAATGAAATCTAATAATAATAATAGTGTCTATAGTTCAAATTATATACGTAAGTGAATCGGTATGTAAATATGCATTGATATGCAAAATTAAATATTATTTATATAAATAGAAGCAGGTTAAAGTTGTTTTTTTTTCGGACCCAGATTTTACACCGCCTACTTAAGGGTGAGAAGCCGAGTAATGTTAGTACCTTTCATATAAGTATTATTAGAGGTAATCGACATGTAGCTCTGTAGGATTTAGATTTCAAGCTAGTTGACACTTATCAGCAATTTGTTTCTACAATTTTTGGCGAGTTGATGTTCTCTGTGAAAATTGAAGACAATCCGCTGAGCGTCACAGTCAACGATGTCTCCATTGATCTATTTGGTTCGCAATTATTCTGCTCTCTTTAAGATAATAATCGATTGGTACACACATCCACTATCACTTCTGGGGATCACTTTTTTATTTAGCTCAAATGATTGTTGTGATGCAATATTAACGTTTACATAGATGGTTGTATTTACAATTCCGTATGGATGAAATGAAAATTTGAGATTCCACTCGATAATAATCTACACCAATGATTACTTGGTAAATTTAGTTGAATAGAATGAGTAAGGTGGTGTAATTTGTGACCAAAACAATTGTGAGGTTTAATCGTCATCACAACAATCATGTCAGTGAATCAATCAAACCTAGGGAACCTTTGATAAATAGGTGATAACTTTTCAGTAATATTCACCTATAACTTTGTCAGGAATGAAATCTGGGACTTTCAGGTCCGGGATTGATTCCAATTCTCCTAGATAACTGTCCATTCGTTCAAAATTTCAATTTTATTCAATTCGTAATATAGCTTAATCCTCATCTGATACCTTACAATTGACTAATTAATCCCAGACTAGAATAGAATTACCATTTAATACATCCTGGTTTTCTACAGTCCTTCAACTGGCATGGAAAAATAAAGGATTGTATGTGACTTTTCTGTACACAGAATTTGGGTTTGAAATGGCGAATTACTATGGCCTCGGCTGTGCATAAATTCATCGTCCAACTCTTTTTTGAGCCAGTTCTTCCTACTTTGTAGAGGATTTAGAACGCAAGTTCGCGTGGTGAGATGTGAACTGAATTGACCATGCGTTTGAGAACTGAGGTGTTGATGATATGTATATCCCTTTAGATAATGATGCAGGTTAATGTTTGGATATTCGTTCACCAAGTGCGTGATCTGTACGTCCAATATAACCTGCTTCACAAAAGTAAGTAACTGGTAGATGCGCATTGAGGTGGCTTAAAGTGCAGTTTATACTTGACACTCCCCTGAATGAATTTCTTGCTGGAAAAATGGTTGGAGCTCTGCTGAATAAAAAGTCTTTTTCAAGGATCTGGATAGTTTGTTTTTTAGTATCTCAGCTGCCGTATTTCCCTTGAATTTGACGTTCGAGGATAAAACTTTATTCCGAACTGTGAGTTTTTTCCGCTTGACATTCTGGTTTTAGATAACTGTCACTGGACTTGGTTGGGACGTCATATTCAAAAGTGTTCGTCAGATTTTATTTTTATTATTATCGTATAATGTTGTTTGTACTATCTTTTTAATTGAGATCATGAACCGATGTTAGACCACCATTGAAAACCTGGAAGCACTGGACGGCCGTTTCGTTTTATTGTGGGACTCAGCAGTGCGCATCCACGATCCCTCTCCTGGGATTCAAACCCAGGGCCTTCAGTCTCACGCGCGAACGCCTAATCCCTAGACCACTGAGTCGGCATCCAACGGTGTTAATGTCTGACCTCAACCGGTCTGCTGAGGAGTCCCACAACAGGACGAAACTACCGTTCAGTACTTCCAGGTTTTCAATGGTGGTCTAACATCAATCGATTCATGATCTCAATCAAAAACTTAATAACCTCCACAACCCTATACTGATATTTACTATCTTTTGTTCAGTTGAATTATTCTAGCCTAATGTAAATTGTTTTTTCCAAGATAAATCAATTATAAGTTATTTGTTTATAGAGGTGAATAGGAAGAAAGAATATGGGAGACAGATTTGAATAGAATAGCGTAAATGTCACTTCTCATTTGTAATGTTTCTTTTTTTCCAAACGACCATGAAATTTCCCTCATTAATTCTAGTCTCTTATAGAAGCTTTTACAATTATTTTGTTGACTTACTTCATTAATTCACTATTCTGTAGTTAATTTTCATGCTGTTAAGCCTTATACACCATTTTATTGATGGAAATGTAATTATACTACTAATATTCAATGTGATAAGTAGCTGGCGCCAATTTGTTATATCTTTATGGTAATAGTATTGCTTTTGTGTTTTAGATAAATATAACCAAAATCACTTCAATTCCCTTCGTTTAGTTGTTGTTAAAGATAATAATAATGATAATTAGTAGTAGTAGTATTTCAATTTCATACTTAGTCTAGGTAAGTCAATCGGTTATAATCCACGTAAAGCCTGACACAAATTTTCATTAGTCCATATTACCATACCTAATCCATACGAGCAGACAACTAACAATGACTGAGAAAAATCCAATACATTGAAGAATATTTTTCGAATAGAAAGTATGAAAGCAAAGTATGCATAAGGGAATGCTGTAATAACTCTAAACAAGAAAAAACCCACAAATAAACGAATATACATCTTAGGCTAATAATTTTCCACACATACCCCACATAAAACTCTACACCCTACACACATACACACAATTACTTACGCCCGTTACTCCCAATGGAACAAAGGCCGCCGACAATCATTCTCCAACCCACTCTGTCTTGGGCCTTCCTTTCTAGTCCTATCCAATTTTTGTTTATTTTTTTCTTGTGTGTCTCCATTTCTCGGTGTAATGTGTTCTTTGGTCTTCCTCTCCTCCTTTGGCCTTGAGGACTCCATGTGAAGGCTTGCCTTGTGACGTAGTTGAGTGCTTTCCTCAATGTGTGTCCCCTATCCACATACACACACAACCTAAAAATTTTAAGTTACATAATCGGAGCACATTATGAGTTCACAATGAAGACCACTTAGATGACGATAACTTTTAACCAAACTTTATAAATTATAATAATAATTTATTTCAATATGCTAATTAATCAGTCTATAACAGCTATAATTTAAAATCTAACACATTAGTTTATTTCAATAATCAAACAATGAAAAATTCATTTAATTGAGTTAGTTAGTTAGTTAGTTTGCGAATAAACAAATTATTGACAAATGGATTTAGAAATTTTGCTTAGCAACTAGTGTTCATTGTAGATTAGTAACTGTGAAATCCATCTAATTGCCAGCGAACAGAATGGAGTATACTGAATAGTATTTCGTTCTGTTTTATTACGATGACTGTGAATTGTGTAGCCTACCAAAGTAAAAAAAAAACATTCATAGGTACTGTCGAAGCCTTGTTCATACATGTCGAGACCACCAACTATGATAAGGTTGAAGTCAGATGCAGGACTTTAGAAAAAAACCCAGCTAAACGGTTGATAATGTTATGAATCTCCATTGACTGAGATATCTGGGATATGTATACGTATCCTCAACCATTGTCTACCTCGACACGCGTTGCTGGCTGGTATAGGAGTAAGTCTAAAGAAAACTGGAGACAACCGAACAAAATGTGACATTAGTCCATAAATTCATTGACCGTTAGTCTAAGTTGTGTTGGTAGTTTCAGACTACCTGATTGGGTTCAGTGCGATCATTGTAAACAAGAGATGTTGAATGAAGTGACTCAAAGTCGCTGACAGTGACATAGATCCATTTATTTTGTGTCTACTCTTAGATCCTGAGTTTTAAAACAATTTTATACTTTTATTTCCACTGATTCATTCTCGAACTGTATTCTCTATCCCTAATATTTTCTAACCATGACTCATACTACTACTTTTGTATCCCTTCTGATAGTTTTATCTGAATGTGTGTTGATGTTGTTTAGCAACTTGGGTTGATGCAGATTTACCCCTAATTTTTATATTGCTTGTGACTGACTGAAGCAAGTATTTTTTGTGTAGATAAACTTCATCTATATATTCATAAATTCTATGCTCCGTTAGAAATTATCTCTCATATCAAGAATGGAAACCTTGTCTACTATGATCATTATTTGTGTTTTGTATTTCACATAGTTTATATGTCTGATACACTGAATGTTTAAGGCAGTGTTTTGATAGCTTATTTTCTAAACTCTTACAAACCTCGACAGTTGAACTTTAAACAAAGGCAGAAACATACAAAGACTTTTAACTCCTAAGGTTGATTCAATTGCTGAAAACAGATGCTGATAGTCCTATGAATTTAGAAACTTCTTTAAAAGATAATCATGTAGGCCAGTATTTTGCTATTTGACATACTATATTAGAGAAGAACGTAGTGCATTGAATGCTAGAACTTTTCAAACTCAACGATTACTTACTTACACCTGTTACCCTTCGTGGAGGAGTATAGGTCGCTGACAAGCAATCTACAACCTAATCTTTCCTGAGCTCTCCTTTCGAATTATTCCCTAGTGCTGTTCATTATTTCGAAGTCTGCCTCTTTTCCTTTTCCCTTGAAGATTTTAAGTCAACTTGCTTTGTGGTGCAGTTTGATGATTTCCACAATGTCGTATCCTGTCCACCTTCAGCGTCTTTTGGTTATTTCGTTTTCAGTTGAAAGCTGGTTTATTCTCTACCACAGTAGGTTGTTGCTGATGGTGTTTGGCTGACGGACGCTGAACTAGCAAAAATAATTAAATAAATATCCACCTTTCAATCAACAATGTTAGGTGATATCTTGTAGCTCATTATGAAGACTTCTAAGGTGTTTTGTTCTCTATGCTGGATATTCTAGTCGCTTGATACTCTTATTATCTACCTGGACAACAACATCAGCGCAAATTCTGTTAGTAACATTTATTAGTAGTGTAATTGAAGTCTATGTTTTTTTATGGATCAGTTAAATTTTACATCCCTTGATGAAGTAGTACGTAAGTATTTGGTTAGAATACACCATCATCCCTCTACTTTCCCTCATCTCAATAATTAACATTCCTTGGTCTCGT